TCATTTAAATTGAGAAAAGCAAAAAATGCTCGAGTACAAAAGAACTTCAATAGTCATATCTAGAAGATCCATATCAAAATACGAAAATGAAGCATTCACAAGCTGTTGATAATATGAGTCTTCTACCAATTTTAGTAAGATTAGTTCGATCACTCTAATTTGTTCACCAAATGGAACAATTATTGTGACTAACTTATCATGTGTAATAAGAGATTGTTAAATTTGATCCGTCGCAGTTCAATTGATATCAACAGTGCTCAATCAGCTAACGTAGGATCCCCTTTCACGAAGTGTATATCACGTAATTTATAGACATAACATTTGTTATACATGGTTGGTTGTTGTCTTGTATGTCTTTCCACAATGTATTTAAATGACATGAATTATCTTTAAATCCTCTCATAGGGGAAAGGTAATTTTTCTTTGTTACACTTCGTTGCTCGAGCATTTGAATTGTTTTATGTTTATGTTCATGTTTGTTGTTTTATTTTTTCGAAATGGATTGTGGGGCTAGATTTGTTTAGGAGGAATGTCCTCTGGTCGATTTCACCGGGGAAGCACTTGTCATTTGATATATTGAAGAGAGAGAAAGTTTATACTTAGAACTTGAAACTATTTATATAAGGCATTTGTTTCTACAATTTTTACAAAATCTACTCTAGCCCCTATTTGGTGCAGATCAAAATTACATTTTGATAAAAGTTGATAAAATGTGTAAATAAAATATTGTGGATTCCATTAAATGTATAATTATTGATTTTAATTTATTTTTAATCCAAATCAAACATGGACGTAAGGTGTAAAGAGTAAAATGATTTTTTCATTAAACTAAAAAATCTTTTTTTTTTTTTTGAATTCATTGATGGTTAAATATATTTACACCACAATTTTTAATAACTAGATTGCAGTTTAATTGCATGAAAAATTCATAATCTTTAATTGGTCATTGAACTTTGTATAAGGTTTCCAATGAGTCATCGAACTTCAAAAAAAAATCTATTAGTCACCGAACTTAGCAAAATATAATCACATCCATTACTCACTTAATAAACAGTTGGAAAATTGACAAATTTGCTAACGAGACTTATGAAATTGCTTGCATGGCAATTTATTTTTCACTTGGCATCCACGCCATTAACAATTTAAAAAATGAGTGATGGATGAGATAACGAATCACAAAGTTCAGTGATTAACGGGATAATTTTTAAAAGTTCAGTGACCCAATGAAAACTTTATTCAAAGTTCAATAATAATTCAAGTAATTAAACCCCATTTTTATTAATATTTATGTTTTTTAGTCTTTTTTCTGTACTCATATCCACAATTTTATTCTCTAACATTGCCAAAGTGCATTGATCGCTTAATGGTATTCAATTTTGAAATTCATACATATCTTCAACTAAGAATCTAATGGATTTCTAATTTTTATTCAGATGCGTTCTAATGGAAAGACGATTGAAGTTAAAGCAGTCTATGGTGCTGTCACACATCAGTACAAAGTTCATAAAAAAAGGGAGATAAAAAAGCATTGTTTCAATCTTTGCTTGAACTCAGGGGCTCGCACACACGCAACTAAATTTGGTTTTGAGTCCAACATTTTCTTATAATGAAATGCATTATTTGTAAATATCATTTACATTGCAAATTTTACTAGTTCCTTTAACCATGAGTAAGAAAAAAAAATTAACAAGCAAGTAAAATGTTTAGTGCAAAATTAGACAACAATGTGAAGCTCTTGAATTTGAATTTCACTGTTAAACTAGAAACAACTTGTATAGTGCAATGAAGTTTGGAAAGATGACAAAGGAACTTGCCCTTATTATCCGTGAATCCAAGTGAGTGACCATTGCATCGTTTATTAGTCTATAATCCTAAAGTCATCCTACTTTATCCCTGAACAAGTGGAAGAAAGTACCTTGTTCTGCTCACCATTATGCACTATTTTATAATGTTACAACCTTGGCTGAGACACGTATCTGAATACTAAAGAGTTCATCAATGTTGTAGCAGATGAGCTCAAAAATCTTTTTGCCAAGCAATAGCGTACATGAATATTTGCATCAAGTTTAAAAATTTTATGTAACTCATAAAAATGAGGGTTAATTACTTAAACCATTACTGAACTTTACGTAAAGTTTTTAAATTGCTAGTGACGTAGACTCTAGTGGAAGGTAGATTGCCAAGTATACAATTTCGTCAACCACGACAACAAATTCGTCAATTTTTAACTGCTCGTCAAGTGAGTTATAGATGAGATTACATTTTGCAAAGTTTAGTGACTAATAGGAAAACTTTCAAAGTTCAACAGCCCCTTGAAAACTTTATCGCAAAATTTAGTGACCAATCAGGTAGTTAACCTTCATATTTATAATTTATGTCTCAAACTTTTTTCATTGCATTTTTAGACGATGTTTGATAACTATTATTTGACAAAAAAAAATAATGTTTTAAATAGTGATTTTTAGGAAAATATATGATTAAAAAGTTGAAAAAAGTTTTGAATTCACATGCAAAATATTTTATTGTGTGGATGTGTAGTTGAAAATAAATACGTAGAAAAAAGAGTTTTCAAATAATGGTTGTCAAACGATGAAGTACCAAGACGTAGGGGTTGGCCAACGTAGGCAGTTCACCTCCCTCTTGACCCGAAAATGGAGAGAGCCAAACCCCCTTCTAATCCATTCATTTGTCAATGATGAAAGCTACTGAACTTAAGACACGAGTTGAGAAAGAGGGCTAGCAGGGGCTTATTCTCAAATTAACATAAATTGTTTCTCATTATGATTTCTCTCCGAATATTCTTTAAAATAGATTAAAAAGACTCGTTTATTCATTGTATTTTTGAATATGCAAAATAAATAATACTGCAAAATGTGATTAAATATTTGACCTTCAGTTTAAAGCATGTCAACAATATTTTTGGACGAAAATCTTGTTCTTAAATCATGATTAAGAACAAGATTTTCTGATCAATGAAATGTTACAATAAGAATGTAATGAAGAAAAAAAGTTAAGAATATAAGTTTAATAATAAATAAATATTAATAACATTTAACCCTTGTTTGTCTTCCATTAAATCAAAATTATTTCTTTTTCAAACTTATTTTCAACTAGACATTCACACAATAAAATATTTTGCATGTAAACTTAAAAATGTTTCCTACATTTTAACTACATGTTCTCCAAAAAATGATTACTCCAAAACTCATTCCCTTCTCTCAAAAGGGAAAAAAAAATCTTTTTAATGGAAGACAAATATAGACTTAATGTAATTAGAATGTAATGCAATTGTAGAAAATTTTAATGTGCATATAACCACCCTTAATTGATCTGTAACTTTTTGCCGCATTTAGCATTTAAAATTGGGATAATTGCAACTGCAATCCCAAATATCTCTCTTTTTTCACAGATTTTATCTCGACCTTCACTTTATACTACGAATAGTCCCCAGGCCTTTCATTTTGTTGCAACGCAATGACAAATGAAAAGATTTTATCCATTTGATCGTTAATTGACTAAGAAATTTGAATTTGACCACGTTTTGACCAATTTTAAAATGGTAAATTTGCATACAGAAACTATGATCCACTTCGTTTCTTTTCTTACCATAGGCTGATTTAAGTATTTGCTTCATTTGTTCCAGGATATATTGAATCACCGTTGCTGGGTTTATTGTCCCACGAGTTAATTTGTCTTTCTTAAAGAAATTTAAAAAAGACAATGCTAGACAAACAGGGAAAAAAATAGGGAATGGCACACAGATACATTGGCAACAAAACATTGAGGGATGGGAAAATTTAAAACAAAAACAGACAAGTCACAGGTCGTCACCACGTGTATCTGTTTTTCTTTCCCTGTTTGAATTCCCTGTTTGAGTGGCCTTACTCTAGCAAAAGTTCTATATTACAACTCTAGACTGTTTATGGGCCCAAGCTGTAATGAGTCCAGTTGGCGTGCGAATAGGCCTGTTTCTCACCAACTCACCCAATTCAACCAGTTAAAAACCATGGCTTTGGCACTCTTTGGCAAGAATCCTACTAACTCATCTACAATATTTAAAAGGGAATTACTGGTGGAGAAACTTTTGAATATCAATTTTATACTCAATTTTACTACATATACATTAAATTTGACATTATGGATGACATTGTTTGACGTGACAACACTTTGAGCCATTGATTTTAACAACACATATTCAAACCAATGGCACAATTTTTTCACACATCACACAATGTCATTCATAATATCATCCAAGAATGTACAACTAATATAATTCTTTTACACTATCATATTTTGCTATATACTCTTATTTGATTTACATTTTGATCCTTATTTAATCTTCCTAATTTCTCATGCCATAAGTTAATTTTCCAACTTATAATCTATAATCATTAATATTTGTGAATGATTTTGTGCAATCATTCAATATAAATTTTTTTTCTGATTTTCTTCATTTGTTGCAAAATTTTCCTTATCAAGAAGTTGAAAGGCACAACAAACGAACTGTTCGATTTTCTCTTCATTGCATTTACCCGCAAAAGTATTTCGAGATTATGGGTTCGTGTTTGGTTAAAAATAAATTTGTAAGTTCGATCAATTTATAATTTTTTATCGAACTTAGACATTTTTAATACCTTTGTTTTAGAAAAATGCTATGAATTGTTGAATGCTCTATTTTTTGTACGGAATCACAGGTCAATATGCAACTGCTTCTTACATCATGTAGGGGCCATGTATTGTATTTGTCTCGACTTGAATTCCAGAAGAAGATAAAAAAAGCTTGGCGTCATCTTCTCAGCTTATTTTACCAATAGGTCCATAAGTTTCACTAACATGCGCAGGGATGTCACGTCCTGCAGTTGAAGCACCATCGTGGGCTTATTCACAACCACATTGTTTAGTTTTGTGACGTGAGCAATCCCAGATCGAAAGCAAATCGCCCACAATTTCATCCTCCCAATTAATCGACTTTACTTCGAAAATAATTGGAAATTTTTAAAATGGCATTGAGCTCTTCTTCTTTAACGTATTTGAAACCCGTTTCGTTCCAATTCAGAAGAAACCCTAGAATTATTATTAGAAACTCACATTTAAACTCCTCCTCGGATGATTCGAACAGACCGGCGCTCGGCATTTCGTCAGATTCAGCTCCGAGAGCCCGATTTGTGGCCCGACGGACAGAGTCCGTTTCCGTCCGACAACGCCAACGCCCACTGAGTAATATTTCTATATCATTTACATGTTGTATTCTATATCGTATATACTGGAATTGTATGAAGCGATGAAGAGTATTTTTTTTTTTTCCCATTGATTGTTTTAGCCGAGTATATGAGCCTGCCGGCGAGCCAGTACTCGGTGCTGGACGCGGAGAGAATAGAGCGGGTGGATGATAACACCTTCAGGTGTTATATATACAGATTTAAGTTTTTTGCATTTGAAGTGTGCCCGGTTTTGTTGGTGAGAGTCGACGAACAGCCTAATGGTTGCTGCATTAAGCTCTTGTCTTGTAAGGTATCTACCTTATTTCGCTTGCCTGCTTAAACACACACACACCGTTGAATAATTTACTCTATTTTATTGTTTTATTGATGATTCTTTTGGTACGTGATTAATTAACTTTGGTCTTAATTTCAATTAACAGCTTGAAGGCTCGCCGATTGTTGTTGCACAAAATGATAAATTCGATGGTTAGCATCTTCCTCCAGTGTATTCTCATAATGAGTTCATTTTAGTACCTTTCTACTTCCTAAACTAGATTTTGGTAAACTGCATTTGTTTTGGCATCATTCGTCCTCCGTTTGGAAAGAATTTATAAATAGACAAATTAGTTGTAGATAAGTATGTAGTACTTATGAGTCAATTGGATTGTGTAGTTGAAAATGATGTTTGTCCATTTATAAATTGATTTATGAAGTTTCCAAATGGAGGCTTGATGAATTGTCGTGTCTAGTTTTCACAAGAATATTTACATCCTAATAGCTGCAATTAAACATAACTTTGATTGAGAAATGTTGACCAGAATATGGTGGTTCAATTTGAGGTTGTTTAAGTTGAATTTTTTTTTTTTTTTGATGTGGAAATGAATCACACACTTTAAGTAGTAGAATGTCAGTATAGTTTTAACATGCTGTAAGTTGTCCTCATTGTGTCCTATAATTAATTCGTTACAGCCTCTTTGGTGTGTTCTTGTCTGTTTTTATTGTTGGCAAAAAGAATTAAAGAAATAGAGCTAACAATTACAGCGTTTATGTTAAGAGTAATGTCATTTGTACATAATGATGACATGGAAAAGAGAAATTTCTTTTCTTTTCTTTTCATCCTTTTTTTCTCTTTCTCTGCATTCCATGTCATCAATACATACACTATTATGTACAAATGACATTATTCTTATATTAAATATATCTACTTGTCAACACGAGGTTAAACGCTACCTATCAATATATTAAACCATTATCATAAATATGAATGCAATCAAGTCTTAACTTCTTAAACCAGCTTTTTTAATACATTAACTTGTCAACATGAGTTCAGAGGTCAGATGCTACATATCATTATATGAACTATGCAGGAGTTGTGCATAGTTTTTGCAATGAAAAGCTTGCATTGATCTTGGTTGAACTGCAACATCTTTTTTATGGTTATTATGATTTTATAGTTTTGAAGATTGTCAATGACACAGTTAAATTTTTTTCCTTGAATTCTTTCACAAATGATAACATTCATGACGTTGCTTGTTTTCTGGAATATGGTCATTTGATCATGAATAGGGTCATTTAATACTGAATTCTACTACATAATGCTTTTCAGGAATTCTTTGACACTAATTTGGTATGGGCATGCAGCTTCAATGGAGAATAAGATATCATGTGATAGCAAACGAAGTGATTCACAAGTGCAGCGACTAACTTCAGATGCAGTCATTGAGGTAATGATCCAAAAAGGCCTCTCTTCAAGTTGTAAATATTATGTATTGTAACATGGTTCTGCTTAATACAGCTGCTGTTACTATGTTAAATGCAGGTCAATATTGAAATTCCTTTTGCATTTCGAGCTATTCCCCCACAGGTCATTGAATCAACTGGTTCCCAAGTCTTGGAACAGATATTAAAGGCCATGCTTCCTCGATTTATGACGCAGGTCTGCAAGTTATAGCTGTGTTAGACTGTTTTCTTTAACCATATATCCTTTTATATTATGGTATTTTTGGCCCTGGTTGCATGTGACATTTATTACATGCAAGTGCTACAATCTGTTGCCTACAAGCTTCAGGATGAAAATTGAAGAGATTATTGGAATTGGCATTTTGTGGCTAACTTTAAAGTGCTTTTTGGTTGACAGCATCTTCAAGAGGCTTTTTATTAACCATATAATTTCTATTTCAGAGAGTTAATTCTCCTTTTTCAAGAGTTCAACAAACTATTTACAGTTAAAAGTTAAAATAAAGAGTGGATTTAACTTTCCAAATGTAGAGAGCCATACCATTCTTTCCATAATGCTTTTAATACTTGCGTTAATTATTTCACAACTTTACATTCATTTCTTTGGAGGGAAAAAAAGAGAGAATATGTTGATCAATAATTACTTGTGCAAAAAAAAACAAAAAAAAACAAGGATAATACTCCCTCCATCCCATAAAGATACACTTGCTTTTCTTTTTTTCATATGTCCTAAATTATAGGTCAATTTCCTTGTTGAGAGTATAGTTGATTTTTTAATTCTCTAATATGCCCTTATTTAATTTGCCTTATTATCAATAAATATGAACTATTCCTACTTAAACCATTATTTAATGTAGGGGTTTTTATTTGGAAAAATGTAAAAAATAACTAATAAATTATATTTTCAACAACTATATTAATTACAATTTCTTAATATGTGTGAAAATGAAAATAAGCTTATCTTTATGGGACAAAGGGAGTATAAAGAATATTGTTGGGCTTGTATAAAAAAATCTACTCTTTATATATGCTCTTAATAAAGATTTTGTAGAATGAAGACATCAATGATTAGGCAAGTGATAAAGGATTTAGGGTGGAAGTTAGGAATTGAAATGAAATTTAAGCCTTGTTTGGTAAGGATTAAAATCAGAATTTTAGCAGATTTTGATAACAGTTGATTAAAATGCGTGGTTGAAAAGTTGTAGGTCGCATGAAATATGTGATTAAAATTAATTGACTTTGACTTAGATTAAAATCTAAATTTTAATTCCTACAAAACAAGGGCTAAGTGTACTTCTCATGTAGTCGTGACCGTGTATAGGAAACAGTGGCTGGCCTTGATAAAGACAAAAACAAATAATGATTTAGTTTTATGTGATTTCCAGCATCTCATCCACTGGCTTGTGAATTCCATATTTGTTATTTACTTATAATTTACCTCTGTCTTCACATTCTAGTAATAATTTCGCTTCTTTTTAACTTTACAATGCCAATTCACCATAAAAAAATTCCCTACAGGAAACTAAGAAATTCTTACACCCGTTTGGTGAATTTATAAATCAATTTATGAAGGGAAATAGTAATGGGTTCAATGAAATGTGTGGATAATAAATGAATAGTAGTTATGAATGTGAAGTGGAAGTTAACGTTTGATTTTGACTGAATTCATTTTTTGATTTATAAATTGGTTGCCAAACGGATGCTTATTTTTTTTCGGGACGAAGGTCATGTATTATTTTGGGCTTGACCCTGTTGTTTGTTTTCTTCCAAATTAGGATAGACATTATATTATTGTCCGTTAATATATTAATCTACCAATACAATTAGGGTTTGATTTATACTGATGTTTCTATTATTTTTATGAATAACTACTGTTAAATATTTAATTTACATACTAAAGTGAAAATTTTAATTCGAGTTTCATGAGAAGATCGTTACCATTCTTCAGTTGACACTAGGGGTGGTTTTCAATTCTCTGTCGAAAATTTGGAAAAACGGAAAATGCTAAGGTCATTATGTAGTCTATAACATGCCATGTGAACTTGTGTATTTGAGACATGAACATACATAGGTTTTGCCTGTGAGAAATATATGATTTATTGAACTTCACAAGTGACTGTAGATCATAGTGAGAGTACAAGGAAAAATAAATAGGCAGCTTTTCGTAATTTCAATGTAATAGTCATATACATTTGATTTTGTTAATATAATATGCTCTAATTACTGAACTTTGCAAGTGACTACAGATCATAGAGACAAGGAAAAAGAAATATGGAGGTTTTCGTAATTTAAATGCACTGTAATAGACACGTACGTCATAGTTAGTATAATATGCCCTCATATTGAACCAATTAAGGATATCAACACACCAACCATCATTTTGAATGAGGAATAAGGCCTGGTGTCTAATGCATTTTGCATACAATTGCAAGATGAAATATGCAGCAGAGTATTCCTATATGTACTATCTTTGCATCGTGAAAGGAAAATTTCTTGAGTCGTTGAGTGATTTCCAATTTTTTAATGAAAACCAGTGCAAGTAAATACAGTTCATGACATCTAGAGACATTCTATTTGTTACATGTCAAAAGACTCAGTCAAATCCTCCATTTTTATTTCTAGCCTGTAAAACCATAAGTTTCCTTCGGAAGTATGTTAATTTTGTATCATATGGTTCCCAAGCATACGCTGTTAAGTTTGAGACTGGGCAGTCCCGCTCTCCCCTGTTCACCCTTGCTATTCCAAGATTTTAGTGAAGTTATTGATATTTCAAGTTAAATTTCACACATACATCTGCTTCTTGACCACGTGAAGTTTATTTGAATTTACGTGATATCTGATGCCAATGGTATTGCTGGAGATCCCAATGACCATCTGCTGGTGAGTCTTAGCTTAAGAATTTTTCTTCTAACAAATAACAGTATTCAAGCTATGTAGAGTGCTTAAATAAAATTAAAATGACTAAAGTTCCCTTACTACTGGTTGTAGATAGTTTAGAATCTATTTGCATTATAAGAAAAGCATTAGATCCTCCCTAAATTATGAAAAACTCTGGGGATCATTAGGAATTGGTAAGACCCATCTTCTTCGTAGTTCCGTTTGTTGTTTGTTCTTTTGATGTTGAATCTGATTTTTGTTTCTTGTTATGTTAGTCTTTATTTCTTGTATTCCAGTTTTTTATACTATTTGCAGTTAACGAAGGATTATCAAGCTTGGGCTTCTGGGGACGCTTCAAGGCAACCTCTTGGAACTGGTCAGATTTAAGATAGCAGTAGTCTACTTCAAACCATCTATTTTGTATTTCATTTCTGTTGTATGATTTAGGACAGATTATGCTGTTTGAGGGAAACCAACGTATGAAAACCAACATCATGCGGACTTAAAAACAAAAACTAGAGGTACTGGCCTCAGCCCGGCCAGCTGAGATGCATGCACGTTTGGCACCTCTAAGTTAAGCAATGTAATGAAGACGATTTTAACTCTTTAGTGACATCCCACCATGCGGGTGGATCAATATGCCTTGTCAAATGTGCCGTAGGCCCATATAAGTGATAACATGTGTAGTATAATGAATATGATTTTAGCTCATTTTGATTCTCTCATGCCCATATTTCAAATACTACCCTCTCTAAATGATAATAGTGCTTGTGAAGTACTGAACTATCTTCTCCTTTTATTTCACTTCATGTGTACATTTCTTAGGTGAGCCCAAGAGGTGAAACCGAAACGAAAATTCAAACTTTCAATACATTTTGAGTCTAAATCTATGCTTAGTAAGCTTGAGCGTATTATTTTGTCGGTGCCCATTTCCTTTCGATATGAGATCCTTCCACGGCAAGAACTGGACATTTGCTATGATACAACACCACCATAGAATGGACACCAATTCCCAAGCAATGCAATCTCCAAATTACTACCCAATGAGAAGTTGGTTCCAGCTTTTAAAATGAAGCGAGCTAAACGTCAACCTTTCATTATGGTTGTATAAATGATCTTCAATGACTGTTAAATTGTCGCTTCAATTTGTTGAATTTAGATTAGTGTTCAAAATTTAAATTGTGATACTTTTCTATAATTGTCAGGCGATGTGATGACTTAAAGTATATTTGGACAATTTAGCAAAGACCAAATTGAAAACCAATTCCCCACCCCCCCCCCCCCCAACCCCCAAACACCAAATTTTATCTCTCTTCAATTCATTTCATTTCATATCTCCCATCTCTACCGACACCGTCGCCTCCGCCTCCACCGCCGCTCCGGCCACCGCCCGCCGCCCCCCCCCCCCCCCCCCCCCCCCCCCCCCCCCCCCCTCCTTCCCCCCCAAAACACCAAATTTTATCTCTCTTCTTGAGTATGTGTTGAAACTTGAAAATTCTATCCACGGCCTAGGATTCTTGTAAGCTTACAAGCAGCATCAAACAAAAATCCTAAAATCCAGCTACTCCATGTAAGCAAAAGCAAGAATAATTCATAGTAATTTGTGTTCCAAACAAGTCACCGTTTCTGAATTAAAGTATTCACTTGTTGATTTTAATGAATAGAGGTTTCTGGCATTTGGATATGGAGTTCTGCTGATTTTCTAGTGAGAGAATGATTATAGAGAGAGAACATGCACGCAGTATAAATAATTGTATGAATGACAATTAACCTAACGTGATCAACATATGGGGTGTTTTTATTATTATCCCAATGTGGTAAAGGATGTGTTTTGATGGTCATTAAGGACATGTTTGATCCCCATTTTTTTTTTTAAGTAGAATGTATTTTGGAATAGTTGACTGATAGATAATGTGTGGTTAAAAATGAAGAGAGAGTTTTTTGATTGCATGTAATATTATTTTATTAAAAAATGTGTCGTTGAAAAGAAGAAAAAGAAAAATGTATTTTCAAAAAATGGGGATCAAATAAGGTCTAAGTAATAATATTAAGCTCATATTTGGTTCAGCTAAAGTTTGATTAAAGTTCAAGTCAAAGTTAACAATTAAATTTTAATTATACATTGCATTAACTTTTATCTAAATTAAACACTACAGTGGCTAAATCTTTATGAACCAACCACATCATATGATTAATCCTTATTTGTTACATTTGTTTGAAAAGGTTACAATTAATTATAGTGTGTAAGGATTCAAATGTTCAATTGCTATCAAATTATTGCATCTCTTTAACTTTCTTGACTTGAAATAAAAGCAACATTTTCTTTTAGAGAATCTTGTTTACAAATAACAAAAGAGAGAAAACGAGTTAAATTCATCGATGGCCATCCAACTTCATACTTAATGTCATATTAATCACTCAATTTGATTTTATTTTTCCATGATCACCTAATTTTATACATAGTTTCAGTCAAGCCACCCATTAAATTTTTTTAACATAATCAGATTGGGTGGCCAATGTGACTGTAAATATGAATTTAGGTGGTTATGATGAAACAAAATTAAATTGGGCGGTCGATGTGATACTAAATATAAAGTTAGGAGGTCGTTGATGAATTTAAATCGAAAAAAAAGGGAGATTAATCGCAATGCCACGCGTGAATAGGGAAACGCATTATTGACTATTTGTTTTTTTGGGATGTGAAAGAAGTGATATGTGGATCACTATGCTTTTATAATCTGTGATATATTATTTCATAAATATAATAGTTTTACTTCAGAAAAAGTAACTCTTGAGAGCAGCAGAAAAAATAAATGAATAAAAAATAAAAAATTTGGAAGCGTGCTTTGCCCATCGTCGTTTTGGAGCGTCACTGTCTTCCCTTTGCTTCCCAAAATTAAAATCGACGTAAATGTGAAAAGTAAACGGAATGCGAAAAAACCTGCTCTCTCTCTCTAAAGTATTTACAATTTCTCTCTCCTCTCTCGTCCTCTGTTCGTTTTCTTTCTCTTTTTACACACGTTAACCAAACAGCAATTATACACACTTCAATATATACATGCATACACAGTGTATATATGCGAAACTTTAGGGTTCCTTTTTCCCTTTTATTTTTATAATTCTTACTCTGCGAGCTGCTTAAGAGGTACGCCCCTTTTAGCCTATTATATTATCCGTTTTCAGCATATACACATACATGTTTCGGTTTTACCTCGATTTTTGTTCATTCCAACTTCGTTTGTTTCTCTACGGTTCTTGTTTTTAGTATTGAATTGCCATATTTATGGAAGTGTCGACCCATTTAATTTGATCAGGCAATTTATATTTCCAACCATTGATTTAAATCGGTTAAAAGAGCACGTGAGATTTTTTGATATCAAAATAGGGTCCTTGGATAGCCTTGTTTCTGAAAATGTAATTGTCTGTGAATAATTAAGAATTTTGATATTGTAGGGAAAATGTTCTTTCTGTTTTCTGGTGTACAGTTTTAGTGATAAGTTTGTTTTAGTGGTAACTGGGTGTGGGTAGGTTCAGGGTCATCAAGGTATGGCTGGTGTTCATCAACAATTGCAACCGAAACCTGAGAGTATGAGGAATGATGTTCGATTGGAATTTGAGAGGGGTTTGGAGGAGTTGATGCGTGGGCATTATGATGAATGCACGTCCTTCACTTCGTGCAGTTCACCGCGAACAACTACTACAGAGGATGAAGAGGATGAGGATGAACAACTTGTCAGGCGGAGGAGAAGGTCGAATGTTGAGGGTGAGGACTTGGCTGAGTCTTCTGCTGCTAGGAGGCATCACTCAAGGATTTTAAGCAGGTGGGCAGCCCGTCAGGCGCAGGAGATGATAACCACGATGGAGAGGAGAAACCGCGAGTCAGAGTTGATGACACTTGCGGGCTTGCACACAGTCTCCATGCTCGACTCATCATTCTTGAGGGAGCCACAGTCCCCAACTTCGACGCATCAGGGGAATGTTGAGAGGCTGAGCACCCAGGCTTCAACTATTTTGCAGATGTGGAGGGAGCTGGAGGATGAGCATGCACTGAACCGTGCGCGGGAGAGATTGAGGCAACAGAGAAATGTGGGTTCTAATACAAATGCATCCAGTTCAAATATGTCAGAAATCAGGGAGAATGATAACCAGGGTAGTCTCGAGGATGCTGGCGAGAGTGAGAATGACTATACGACTTGGTCACATGATCAGGGTGGTTTGCAGAATGAGAATAGGGACCCTGACAATTCTAGTCGGGAGCAATCTCCGGATCTTGGGGATGTTGAGAGGGAGAGGGTGAGGCAAATTGTTCGGGGATGGATGGAGAGTGACATTAGTGATCCGGCACCTAATGTTATGCGAAGGAATGGCACTCCTAGATCTGAATGGCTTGGGGAAACAGAGCGTGAGAGGGTGAGGATTGTGAGAGAGTGGATGCAAATGACAAGTCAGCAAAGAGGATCTCGTAGTGGACACAGGGAAGAACAAGATAATGGACTTGGCACTCAGGTTGACCATGCTCATGAAGGGTCTGTTGTTGACAACGAGGAAGGTCAGCCAGAACATATTCATAGAGACATGTTGAGGCTGCGGGGAAGACAAGCTCTACTTGATTTACTGGTAAGAATCGAAAGTGAAAGGCAGCGGGAACTTCAAGGTTTGCTGGAGCATCGTGCCGTTTCTGACTTTGCACATCGTAATCGTATTCAGGTGATGATAAACTGTTTTGGAATTGCTTAATTTCTTTTGCAGTTTCATTTTTGCTGCAACATTCTAATTCTTTATTAAGTGCTGGTTGTCTAAACACATTATCTTCAATCATACGTAAGCAGGGATTCCAAAATCACCTCTGAGTCTTGGTTTCTAGGTTGATTTTGAAAATTCATGTCTACAACCATATTCAGCTGTTATGTATTATATTAAGTCATCCCGTTGTAGTAACATGCTGTTTTCTAACCAAAACTGCGGCGGGTTGCTTAGCATATTAAGTTGAGAAGGAACCTTTTTTTGCCTCTGTTTTTAGGTTTTGTGGGTTCCCTCCTTGACAGGTGGTCCCAGTTTCAATCTACCTTCTTGTTATCATTGTTGGTTTCTTGTGGATAATTTCCAGCGGAAGCTTGCTTTAACTAAAACTTAAAAGATACACTACTTCCTGTTTATAGGTTGACTTGTATCTACTAGTCACCAAGAACTTTTTACTTGTTCGTTGTTGAGTATCAAATAGTAAGTTCCAGAATACTTGGATTGGGCTTATTACGATGATTTTCTGAAGCTTTACAAGAAGTTGTTCTGCTGAAAGACGTATATTTATCTCATTGTATTTTGAAGCCGTCCCTATGTTTTATTATCAATTATAAAGAGTTCACATCAAGTTTATATTCTGTGTGTCAGGAATAACTTGCATGAATGTGTAATCATGACTTCATATTTGAATATTTCATTTTTCAGTCACTACTTAGAGGTAGGTTCTTAAGAAATGAAAGGCCTGCCGAGGAAGAGAGAACCCCTTCAATGGCAGCTGGTGAACTGAATCAGTTAAGACAACGACACACAGTATCTGGCCTAAGGTATGTTTAGTTATACAAGCCACAACGGGAACTTGTCTTTATAAGAACATGTTTTGTGCCTTTGACACGAGAAACGGCTTATCTTTTTAATGTTGAGGGTAATCAAAATCGCGCTTATTTCAGATGTTCTTCGGATCATGGAGATTAATGGAGAATAGAGGTCATGAACTGAAAAACAATTTGTAGTTCTTAACGGGTGAAATTATGATATCAATACTGTTGAATGATGTAATAACATGGTTAAGTTCTTGAGAAGTTAAATGAATAATAGCATGTGGACTCTAGTCGGGGTATAACTCTCTCTCCCTTAGGATCTTTCTACTATGTTAAATTTCAATTCATTCCTAAACATAATCATTAAATAGTTTCAATTGCAAATGACACAAGAAATCAAAAACTTAAAATGACATGGCATGATTTATGGTTAGGTTTTGAAAGTATTGAGCCATTCATGATATTTTGGTATTTGTTACTGCTGTAAGTGTGGATACATTGTTGTACCTGTCCCTCATTTATTTTTCACCTGATATGGGGTTGCCTAGTAAAGTACAAGTATCAATAATTCAAAACTTCTTATTAGAATTAAAAATTGAACTCTTGAAAAAACACAAATATAGAATGAAAATTGAATGAAGCTGTTAAGGCTTTGATTAACAATTTATTTCCTTCTGTTTCTTAAAGATGGTTTTCTAGATTAAGAATTTCCAATAAAGTGTTTAGTTGGAGTTTACCGAAATGTCCTCAAGGTTGCCTGAAAAACATATATCTTGATATAAGTCCATTAATTGACTGTTTCCTTTCCCTTTTTTTTCTATTTAAATGTTCCTGTTATTTACTGGTCTGACAGCTGGTTTTCTTTGCTTTACTGGGAAACATCCTCTTTGAGTTGTACTTTGGAACTTGTCCTCATTTTATTATTTGTTCTTGGAATAAGTGTTTATGATGCTTGTCCAGTGGCATTATAATCAGATGTTACACATTGGTCATGATGAGAGGAAACGTTTACCGATTATAATTTGATTGCATGATCATTTATTTCCTTCAGGGAAGGTTTCCGCTCCAGATTAGAAAATATTGTTCGTGGTCAAGTGATCAGCCATCCTGAAACCTCATCTAACAATAACAACAGGGATTCAAGAAATGATCCGATTAATTCCAATCCTTCACAGGAGATGCAACATGAGAATCAAGAACAGTCTCAATCTGGACGTCAGGAAAGTGACGTTCAACAATTAACCAATCGCACGACAAATTTGGATGGAAGTGATCAAAGTACAAATCAAGCATCAGCTGCCGACCAAGGAAGCAATTGGCAGGAACAGGTCACTGGAGACGGGAGAGCAAATAGGCAACAATCAGCCTATAATGAGTCCAATGGATGGAGAGGTGGCACTTCGGAAGACACAGATAGAAATTGGCAGGAAAATCCTGCACCTGATTGGCCCTCAGAAGCAGCAGTAAATGAAGGTGGAGAGCAAGATCAGTTGCAGGAAGCCCAAGGTGTTTGGCGTGATGATGTCTCTCGAGAAGTTGTGGATAGTTGGTCGGAAGGGCATTCAGACCCTCCAAGAATGCGGCGATCTGTACCATATAGAAGAGTTGCAAGGTTTCGCCCACCTGATGAAGATAGTGTGTACAGTATGGAACTCAGGGATCTACTAAGCAGGTTATTGTCTCAATCTGTATCAAGCTTCTCACCTTTTCAGGCTTATCTAACTTACTGAACTTTCGAACTTTCGTGTTTAGGAGGAGTGTCTCCAATCTTCTCCGTAGTGGTTTCCGTGAGAGCCTGGATCAGTTGATTCAGTCATATGTAGAAAGACAAGGTAGGTCTCCTATTAGCTGGGATCTGCAAAGGAACTTGCCTCTTTCACCATTGCCAGAGAGGGATCAGGAGCAGCTGAACGATGTTCAGCGTGATGCTATTGGTAGACCTTCATTGGTATTACCATCTCCTCCAGTACCGCCACCGCAGCCTCTTTGGCATCGGGAATTGCATCATTCTAGTTGGTCCCGTCACAGTGTTAATCGTTCTGAACTTGTGAGTTCGATTCTTTTTACCCTTCCCTCTTTTCAATTTTGAGTAGGTTCCCCTCGTCAGGATTTGCATCATTCTAGTTGTCCTGTCAGTGTTCATAGTAGCATGTTAAATCTTTCCTCTCCTTTATTGAAGACTTCTTTGTATTCTTATTTTTCCCCTCTATGTTGGCGTTGTTTATTATTGAGTTAGATTTTTGGGTTTTAATGTTTTATGGTTATTTCTTGACTTCTTGTTTGAGAGGTAAAAACTCACACTTGGGCTGATGAATGTGATATTGCAGTTATAGATGAGTAGAGCCAAATAATGGGGGTCTGTCCTTGAAAACTTTAAATTGATGAAATAGGTAGTGTTAATGTCCAAATGTAAAAAATAAACCTGATTTTTTTTGCCAGACCATTTGCTGGGAAGTTTTTGGTACTCAAGTAAAATAGTAGAATATGATTTACTCAGAAGCAACTCTACTTTCCCAGTGCTTTACGCTGAAAAAAAATGTTCTATTTTGGGACTCAATGTTCTAAAAATAGGGTCGTTAACATAGTTCAGAACTCTGGTTGAGATATGGGGTCATATGATTAGGGAGATCGATTAATTTACATGTATGTCTGTGTGTGTATATATTTTTATTTATTTGTGGAATGTATTGGAGCCAAATACCTTCCCCCTCCTCTCCCCCGCACCAACTTGCTTCACAGATGTTCTCACACACATTTGAGGATATCATCATGTAATTTCTAATATTTAACAGGAGTGGGAGATGATTAATGATCTGAGAGCAGACGTGGCAAAACTTCATCAAGGTATGAACCACATGCAAAGGATGTTAGAAGCATGCATGGACATGCAACTGGAGTTGCAACGCTCAGTCCGACAAGAAGTCTCAGCTGCTCTTAATCGATCAGCTGGTGAACAAGGTCAGTTTGCACTTTTATGCTGTAATCCTCTCGAGTTTCTCCTACTGCAAAGCATATGTTGTTGCTTGCCCTTTGATAATTATGCACTTCTGGAGTACTATACCTTCCCTGCCATGTCTTATTCTCTTGTTTATTTCTAACGTTACATGCACTTGCAGGGGTTGTAGAGACTTCGGAGGATGGGTCAAAATGGGGTCATGTTCGAAAGGGTACCTGCTGTATTTGTTGTGATAACCACATCGATTCTCTGTTGTACAGGTCAGTTTCCTTTGAACAACATTCGTGTAACTTTTACTGTGTTAAAATTCGACGGGGGATTATTATTTCTTTTCACTTGAGCTGTAACTTTTTCTCTCTGTGTCTATAGGTGCGGGCACATGTGCACTTGTTCTAACTGTGCAAATGAGTTGGTTCGTGGAGGAGGAAAGTGTCCACTGTGTCGTGCACCTATAGTTGAGGTGATTAGAGCTTACTCGATACAGTAGAAAGAGACGAAGACATAAAATAGAAGTGCAAACGAGAAGAAATTATAAGATGCATTGGTGCTATCTTGTTTGTCTCTGGAGCTCCTCTGTTCTTATTTGTGGCGTGTTCAGTGTTTCTGGTTATTAGCATGTTTGGGCGTGCTTCTTTCTAAAAATTATTTGTGAATAGTTTTTATTTAATCCGTGTGCATAAAATGTCAGAACAATGTTGTGGTGTTAGCATTGGTTTTAACTGTCTAATGAACTACCGTGTTACTAACGGATCTCAATTCGGATACTTAATTCTACTCTTCATGTAACGAACTAATTTATGAGCTATAGAATTTTGTGTTTCCCTAACACATCAGTGATATATTAAAGTATAAAACTATCTTAAATACAAAGCATGCGATAAAATGTGGTAAATAACCATCAACTATAGAAGAAGGATGCAAATGTCTCCAATATTTTGGCATTACATCATAAAATAAATTCAAAAGCAGCCAAGCACAATGTATTCCATGTGCATAAAAATATCGAGAAGTTAGGAGAGGTTCACCTCCGGCCGTGAAGTGGAGGTTCTGATTTGAATTACCTTTCTGGAATAAATCTGGCAGTGAAGTGGAGGAGAGTCCTGAAACATTCGGACCTGGCAATGGATGGTGGTAAAACATGCATGTCTTTCGAGATGACTAATAAAAAGCTGATGCCAGTTCGAATAAGTAGGAGGACTGAATTGCTTCTGTGATACACACAATGAAGGTTATGTGGCAATAAAAGATAGGTAGGAAGCAGCTTCGGATTCTGGATAGATGCCTTTCTTGCGTTCGGACAGGTATCCTCTTATTAATGTTGAAATTCTTAGGAGGGATTTATTAGCCAGACGGTGAATTTGATGAACTGAAACTGATTCCGAAGAGAGACTTGGAAGAGGGAAAAGGTTTAGAGAATTTCTAGGAGCAATTTGGGTCAGATGGAGAAAGAGCGTAGAAATTGATGCTAGGCATTGATAGAATATAGGAGAATGCAGTTACGAAGAAAATGAACGAAAAGAAAAATGCAGAATCGAAAGTCTGTTATATTGATCCTAAGTGATTCGAAGTTACTGACCAAGCAAAAGTTCTATAATCCTATTATTGGATCACCTATATTTTTGTGGTACTTGAGTTTCAAACAAAATGTCCATATCAGAGCATAGCAACATTGAGGATGTCATATGAGACCGTATTAGAATGAACGAAAGATGTACTCCAAAAAGTGGAGGTGGCCACAAGAGAATAAAATTAAGGAAACAATAACACAGATAGGTATGTTATGTATGGAGCTAAATTAACATGGCATCCAGCGATTCAGAGATTTGATTCATTTGCCTTTTCAATAGATTTAACGTTGGAGTAAATGTAATAACAAAAGAATCCACATTGCTGACCAGCTTGACCCCACATTTATTTGGTCTAGCTTTCTGGGTCTTTATCTGTCTTTAGTCAATGCTTTAATTTGGGGGTAATATTCAATCCGTTACATGTTTTGGTACTTGCTTTTCTCAAAAGGAAAATGTTGCATAAACAATATGTTAGCTCTAATCTTATAGTCTATTTGCAAATGTATAGCCAGCAACCTGTGACTGTAAGATATATATAAGTTATTAAGAAGATCATGGATCACAGACTGAACTTCATAATTTTTGAGGAAGGGTACTTTATTAGCATCTTGGTTGAATTCAGAGGGAAATCTTCAGTCAATGGTATTTTATATTGCAATATTTCTTTAAGTTGGTTTGCTGTATGCCCAACGGGATCCATCCTTTATTCGCCCCATATCTCGTGGTATTCAGAGATGCCTCGTCCTCGTGAGATGGTAAGGGATGCCAAGGTTTGAATTTATTAGTAATTGCCTCAGGCTTGTTCAAGAGCAGATGCACTTGAGTTTAAAAAACTCCTTTCAGTATCGGTGGCAAGGCAGCACTTTATTCAGGGTCACAGCTATCGTCATTTCATGTTAGAAGCTGGGTACAACAAATAGCGGATGGCGGTATGTTCAATTCTTACTAGTTGATAATTTTACTTTAATGGTACTAGGATTATTTTTGAAGATATATGAAGGGAGTTCCCCTTCTTTCTGTCCCTTTTTGTTGTCTTGGTAACTTGGCCTTCCATTTTGCCTTCGAGTTTCGTACTCAACGCATCATCAAAACCTGGTGTTTCAATTCCTGCATCCCCAAAACAGGTTTGTGTTGGTAAGCCGTTGGTTCCCTGCTTTCCTTACCGTTTCGCTGCTTGACGACGGCCAAGTGATTTACATGATCCCCACCTTGTCCCATCTGCAGCGACGTCCCCTTGTCTGCAGTCGGGCCTGAATGAGTTGGCTGTATGTTGGCATGCTGTAGGGCAGTCACCCTAACGGGCAGTACACGGTCATTTGCATTGCTGCCTGCATTTCCTCGTTTCTTCAACTTGCAGCCAAGACTTTTGTGGCCGAACGCCTTACACATTGAGCAAAATTTCGGCTCGTGCTCGTACAAAACACATTGTTCTCTAGATTTACCAGTTGGCATTTTCGAATGAACGGATCGAACCAATTCCTTAGATTCGTCAACCTCAACAAGGACCCAAGCATAAGATAGCCTAACCTTCGTTGATGTTAGTTTATCCGTCGAAATTGGTTTACCTACTTTGGAAGCAATTTTACCCAAAGCATAGTCCTGGTAGAGTAATCCAAACCGGCATTGAACTAATCTCCTTGTCATCGACCAACCACTATTATGAACAAAGTAGTGGTACTTCACTTTCCAAGAGTCGCACTCTTGAAGTAGTGCAGTCTTACCCGGGAATCTTCCTGCAAAATGTCCGACTAAGCAGTTCCTCGAAGCGGTTTCGACTTCATCAACATCTTGTTCCCCCAATATGACTTCGTCTTGAAGATCATCAAAGCTTTGGAGTTTAAATACCTGCGTCATGCGTCCTATTATCTCTAAATAGATTAACCCAGGCAGCAGGCTGATCCGTCTGTTTAAACTGGCCAGAAACATTATCTGATGTTTCATGGAGGGACAGTAGTTACCGATTGAAAGTTGAAAACTTTTTATGTGGTTGTGTTGCAATTAAGATAGTATCAGTTAACAATTGTTTATTCTCTCTTTTGCTGAATGGCACCGACACAACTCCAATTTCCTTATCACTTGGAAATTCTACGAGTTACTGAAGATTTCTTTGCTTCCTTTTTAAGAAAGCAGATATTGGAATTGCAGTTCAGCTGATTTCCAGATTCATAAGACATTCTCTTACTATTCATGTGCTTAGATTCATTGCTGGAGTTTTCTTAACAAGGTATGGCACGTTTCCATTCTCTACTTTTTATGAAGTTCCGAGTAACGACACTATGAGGATCTAATAGGGGACAAATTAAGATCGACTATTACATGATAAGGTACTTTTTTCCATTGCAGTCATCTGTATCTTTGTACTTGGCACGGGGTTTATTTTTATCATGGAGAAATCAGAGTATAAATGATAAGCCTGCTTTAGACATCACATTTGAGGAAGTTGTAGTAAATTTTACTGAAACCACAAACTTGAAGTAGACCATTTACTTGTAATCAGTTTGTTGGGTCTCTGATTAAATCATGCCATCATCTATACCCCGTTTAGTGGGAATTAAAATCAGATTTTTAATAGATTTTGATACCAATTTCAACCACATCCTTGTGAGGAATTCAAACATCCTAGATCATATATGTGTCAAATAAATTCTTAAAAAGAAAAAATCATGGCGATCAATGAAGTAGGATATCATGATGCTCCTTCTTATGATTCTGAATCCCAGTAAGAATGAATGAGTCGAAAACAACAATTGGAAATTAATCAAATAAAACAAATAAATCTTTAGGTTGGACCAATAATCTGAATTTATTCAAAAACTACTACGTACATTTGTTTCCTGAATCTAGATATCACGTAATTTCACAAATTAAAAACGTGTAAAGCTATATATACATATGAAATATTCGTGTTTATGTATAATCTCTTTGAAACACCATAGCATCATTACTTCAAGAATAAATCTCTCTTCTCTTCTTGGTGGCGCCAGCGCCGTTAACGTTGGCCTCAAATATTCTGAAAAGTGAATCAGTTTCTTCACTTGATACCATCTCCAACTCATAATACAATTTTCTCTTGCATGAGAGTGCCGACTTCGACTTCGACTTCCTCGGCGCCGGTGGGCAGTTGAGTGCCTCAGGGATCGTACATTCGGAAGACTTTGGGGTGCCACAGGACTCTTCTCCATCGATAATTATTCCAGTTCGATCATCATCATTCTTGACCTTTAGCATTGGGAATCGGATTTCGAGCCTGAATTCTTCATCTGTAGACATGATTCAATATGTGGGATTTTTGAGAAAGGGTGGTAGAAGGAAGATTTTAGAGGAGGTCGATCGTGAAACAATAGTTGAGTTTTACATCAATATATAGGTTGACGCGGGGGGGGGGGGGGGGGG